TGCTGGATAAAGGATGCAATCGGCGAAGTTGGGTCAGGGCGTTTGTTGTGAAGAGAGGCGCAGCCGGCCGAAGTGATGAGAGAGGAAATCAAGTGCTAGAGAAGTAGATACAGAAAGCAGATAAAGAGAGAGAGGGGGGGGGGGGGTCAAGCTACCAGTGGCATCGTCGTCTCTTGATTCCGTGCACGTTTGAAATTTCAAAACTTCAAAATTTTAAACTTCAAAACTGCTACGCATATAATACAAAAATAAGGGAAAATACAAACACACAATAGCTCAGACAGGTAGAAACCACTTTGAGCAAACACGCGCAACATTTTCATGGTATAATGACAGTAGCCCTTTAACCCGGGTAGTAGCGTCAAGGGAATCGCCGGCCTCCTACCGGGCACCCGGCACCTGTCTGTTGAGGGTATCCTCCTATTTCACCAGCCTTTCATTAAGGAATAATAAAAACACACACAGAAAGACTGCCCATTCGAGATATAAAGGCTACACACAGCGGACCGGCCAGTCACAAAGGGACAGCTGCTGCTGTCGTGTTCCTGTACAGCAGCAGTAGCGACGCGTGTACCAAGTGCGGGTTATTCTCGTCTTGCTCCCGACCGACGCACGTTAAGTGGACGACGATCATACACGTATACCGGTTGGCGTAAGCATATGCGGCACCGAGGAATCGACGCTGCTGCTGCTGCTGCTGCTGCTGCTGCTGTCTGGCTGCACCCCTGTACATTGCCAAGTTGTAGTTGTACTTAAGCTTGCACACACAAATACACGAATGCGCTTCCATATGCATACAACGGCCACGTTTGCCATGAGAAATTCATGATGGAGACGCAACTTTGTGGATGGGAAAATAACTATTGTGCATGCAGACAAGGGGGGCGCGACCGGCCAAACGATGTACTTACTGTACGTGAGAAATGATTTGCCTTGTACAGAGACAGGTGGCTTACGGCCGTGCTTCTCTCCGTGCATCAACTGGGTGGGGTGTGTTAGCTTTCGTCCCATTTATTATGGGCGACTGGATTGCGTGTGGGACAATGCTGACATCAGGAAATGCCGGCAGTACAAAAAACAAAAAACAACCCTCTTGGTCTGCAGTTGTGTCATACAAATGCGCGGAGGGAATGTTAGATACTTGCAAGTTCCAAGTCAGGAGGAGGTGTCCGACAGTCCAGTGGGGAAAGCTGTGAAAAACCGCATGGAGCTTGCGATAACGGCAACACTTGACCATACATCGTAAATTCATTAGGGTAACGAGGGCGGTAGCTGTACATACATCCCGTAGTCCAGGCTCTCTTCGACCTGTGTTCGCGCATTTGATTGATACTCTCCGCAACAGGTGACACGTGCTGACAAGGACATGTACGTCAGCGCGTCACCCGACGTGAAGAACCTCCTCCTCGAAATCGCACGCACAATATGCACAATAGACTACTATAATAGGCTGTGCGGTGTGTTTGGACCTGCAAGGGGTGGTGCTCTCTCTCTCTCTCTCTCTCTCTCTCTCTTTCTTGCTTGCGATTGCAGAACGAAAGGTGTGAAGTGCACGACGAGTAGAACATGCACAAAGTGAGTTCTACGAATGTGAGGTGTACCAGACCGTGTACAATGGTTGAGGTCGAACAGAAGCCTCTTACTACAAAGAGATAGAGGGACCAGTAAAAAAACACCGGCTGAGATAAGATGTGCTCCTGTTAGCTCGAACGCTAGGGTGGTGGAACCGTCTCGCAGCAGCGGCAGGTGGTGCGAGTCCAGCTACAACGTCACATCTACGCTGCTGCACTAACAGCAGTGCGGGCGGATGCATCGGCACTTCGAGAGAGTTTCCGCGCATTCCGGCGGGGGGGCTATGCATAGGCGGCGAGTTCTACCCTTGCACTTCCACCCTTGTGCGTAAACAACTCGAGCTTCCTTCGCACGCAGCACAACAACCTCTTCCCGTTTCCCGGATCCCCACAGCAGCCAGCCGACAATCACGCAAGCACTGCAGGACGCCTGCCGCAGGTACCCGTCTGAGTGGGGTGCGAGCACGCCAAGCGGCGGCAGCACACCCTCTCAACGGTGGTGGTGTCGGGGGGGCATGCGCGCCAGAGAAACGAAATTACACCGATCACGCGTCGCTCTCCCGTTGTCGAATCTCCCTGCCAACCTCTCTGTCCCGCACCACACGCACGCCGCCTGCTGCTGCTGCTGGTGTTGCTGCCCAGGGCTCACCTGATGTTGGATCCGCGAAGCAGTTGAGCCATGGTGTTTGGATTTCTCGGTGTGTCAAATTCGCTGGGTAATTGAGAGAGGCTTGGTGTGTGTGAGGCTGGTATGCATTATATGCGGTAAAAAAAAAAATGAAATCTTGGCCTAAAAGAAACGCAAACCGCCGGGGATCGGGGTTCATGCAGCTGCCTCGGAAGTTCTTCTTCCCTCGGAAGTTCTTCTTCCTGCCTTACCAAAGAGGAGGAGGAAGATACCGGGCCACGTCCTTACGTATCACCTTTCCCAGCGGTAGCCAGAACTTCGGGAGTGCACAACGGTAGCCACATCATCGGAGCGCGCTTCTTGACGACGTTCGTTTTTTTTCGACTGCTCTATTATTGTAGTGAGTGGTGGCCCCTCGGAGGACGTTCGGTCGTATTTTCGGGTAAACGCTACTTGTTATTTTTACATAGGCTACTCCTATGCTACAGCAGTACTATGTAGGAAGACCTCGGCAGAGTTACAGCAGTGCGTGCGACATCATATAATCGCTTTTCGGATCACTCACCCTATCTAGAATAATAATAACAAGGGCGATCGACGGCGGTGATCGACGGAACGACGGCGGCGAGATCGACGAAGGCGGCCCAAGGCCGCCCGATCGACCGACCTACCGACCTACCCAACCCAACACTACCCCAACCCTACCCAACGGCGGCGAACGACGAAGCGACGGCGGCGCGATCGACGGCGGCGACCCAGCCCCAACCCAGCCCCAACCCAGCCCCAACCCAACCCCAACCCAGCCCCAACCCAGCCCCAACCCAGCCCCAACCCCAACCCAACCCCACCCCCAACCCCACCCCCACCCCCAACCCAACCCAACCCAATCCCCACCCAACGCATAACACAACCCCGACTCAACCCAACCCGACCCAACCTCACCCGAACTAGAACAATACTAATAATAATAGAGTCTACGCCTAGGCAACGACGTGAACGGAACGAACGGTGGACGCCACAAAGTACTACTTGTAACTTACTTTCTGCATCGTGCGGTTAGCGATATCATGTCATATTTTGATGGTATCAAAATCTTCGAAGTAGATATGCATAGAGATGCGTTATCATGTGTTTTCGAGAGTCGTGCTTGCTTCAACGAATCTCCCCCCATGGCATCCTTCGTAGTCTTGATGAAGCGACAGCAGCAGCAGCGGTAGAGTGGTTGTTTGCGGCGACTACGCAATAATCTATACCCTCATCCTCACCCGTCATGCCACTCGCATATCCCATGGCGCTGCCTCATGTGTCTCGTGAAAAACCTATCTGTATCGCCAACAAGAAGATGTGTATCCGTCCCGGGCTTGCTGGGGATACTTTGACTGTCCTTTCCTCCGTTCTGGCGATGATAAAAAGATATTATCGCCGATCGATCATAAAAGGACGCTGAGGCCCGCCTTTCTCACGGGAAAACGCTTAAGTAAATGTGGACTACGTACGTACATAGACTACTACAGCGAGCGGTGATATCGGTCTGATTGACCTTGTTCCAGACCTTCGTTGTGGGAAATACAATCGGGATATCAACGCTGTTTCGATTGCAATCCTGGCGGGGTGGAGATAACTCGGGAGGAAGCGCTGGAGGAGCGAACTAACGTCCACTGAGTCGACTTCGATGGGTAGCGAAAAGACAAGCTACCGGCCTCAACAAGAACGACGCGGCCGTTCGCCCCTGAGGCACCTTCTTTGCGCGTACTTTGGTCGTTCGTGCGCTTCGGTACCGCCGTCCCCTAGGCACAGTTCTTTGTTGTGTTATAGCAGTAGCAGCCAGAAGCAGCAGCAGCAGCAGCACGTAGAGGTAGCAATCACAGGAGTATTGTAGGATTCATCGTCCTCTTCGCATGGCAACCCAGTCTGAACTCTCTAACGCACGTTGCAGACCCTTCCCCGGCTGCCTTGAACTGACCGATGATACTATTTCTTTTCTCCCGGCGTTATTTGGGCACCAATTACACCAATCGATCAACATCAACCGGACAGGAGAAACAATTTCACTTCAGTCGATCCTCCAGCTGTCGCCTCGGTCACCGTCCACGCAAATGGCAGCCAGCTCTGCCTCAAAATCTGGATCGTCTTTAGGGTTGTAGTGCTCGTACGAGTACTCGTGCCACCGGTGTCCCTTCTGTTTCCGTCGCTGCTGCTCTTCTTGCGGCTTCTGCTGCTGCTGCTGCTTCTGCTGCTGCTTCTGCTGCTGCTTCTGCTTCTGCTGCTGCTTCTGCTTCTGCTTCTGCTGCTTCTGCTGCTGCTTCTGCTGCTGCTTCTGCTGCCTCTGTTGTTGTTGTTGCTGCTGCTGTTGCTGCTGCTTGGGTGGTGGCGATGCCGACGTCGGCATAACCCACGGCGGCGAGAGCGCCGAAAGCGGCGACGGTGATGCCCGCGGTGGGGTCGGAGCGGGCGGAGTCAACGGCGGGGTCGGCAGCAGCGGACGAGTCGGCGACAGCGACTTCGAAAACGCCGTCACGCGCAGCTTTGCTTTGATGGTGCGGATGGAAGATTCCAGCGATGGCAATCGCGATGGCTGCTCCTGCTGCTGCTGCTGCTGAGGGAGCGACGGGAGCGCCGGAGGAGGAGACGACGCTGGCTTGGAGGCGGGGCAGCGGTTCCCCGGCAACGACACTAGCGGCCGTGAGGGCCGAGACGGACGAGGGCATTCGCGTTCTCGGACTTGGACCCCGCTGCCGGCGCTGGTGGCCGTGGCGGTGCCGGCGGCGGTGGCGATGCCGACACCTCCTTCCGGCCCGCGGTCATCGTCGTCGTGGTCGCTGTCGAGATCGAGCCCGAGAAATAGGTATCCGAAGAAGCGACCCGCCCGTTTCACGTTAGCGGGTTTCGTGGCATCCTGGCGAGAAGGCGGTAGAAAGGGGGGAAGGGGGTGGTGGACTTCGGGAGGGAGTCGTGAGCAGCTCGCATGCCTGTTCGTGTTGTTGTAGATGGGCGGCGTGTGTCAGTGGCGTGATAGGTTAGATTGCTGGTCAAGGTCGGCTCCTCCCAATCGGTAGAGAGGGCGCGACAGCGCCTACTACATAGCCGGCTCTTTTTTACCGTGCTTTCGAGCGTGTACTGTTGAGAGGCACGATGACCACTAGACCACCAGTCAGCGCTGACTGGTCATCGTTCTTCTCAACACGTACCACCCGGGCGGCTGAAACTAAGGGTGAGCTGCTCGTGCGTACCGAACGGAGAGAAAGACAGGTCGTGTTCCTGCCCGCGAAGCGTCAAACCCGGCACGCACGCTGAACGGATATGTCACGCATTTCCAGCGTCGTGCATTTGTGCCCCTTGCACATGCCCAGGACACCCGGTGTTTGGCTGTTGGCCCGACTCTGGCTCGTCGTATCCAACCCGTACGAACCTTCCCTCCCGTGGGGGCATAACTCCATGTTTTGGAAATACTGAATCGTCGGATATTATCTGCTCTCTGCGATCTGGTCGTGGTTCGTACGGATTCTGTACAAGAAAAGCCACCAGCAGCGAAAGCCATAGCCTAAGCTGTAGGTTGCGGCCATATTCACGAGGGAAGCCGCTCATATCCACCACCATTCCTACGTCATCATTCTCGGTTTCTTCCAGCAACAACGAACAGTCGTGTACACAAATATACCTCAAGGACATCAAGTTTTAATTGTTTTTCGACTTGCACGTGGCTCACCTGGAGGGAAATGTATTCGCTGGTCCGCGTCACACCTACCGAGTCCTGGAACCGCGCGAATGCAGTTTCTGCAGCCGACGAAACACCCTCGGACCCACCGCTGGATACCTGCTCCATGCATCCGACATCGACGTCAGAGGACGCGGTATTGGAATGACGGGAGGGGAGACAGAGGATAGAAAAAAATATTCCGTTCGTCTTTGACAGCTATCGCCCACTGCGGTGGAATGGTTGCTTTCGTTTGTCTCGGGGAAGAGGGTATTGCCGGGCACATGTACATACATGCACAAGCACGGCCGAGCATCGGAGGATTGATTAACGCTCGGGCCAACACACAACCACCTCCTTCAATGCTTGCTGCGCCACATGCTTGAACCCGCCGGCGGGAACTGCCTTCTCTCCAAAGAGGGAAACAGAAGACGAACGACTCCGGAGTCTACGGGGGGGCGGGGTGAGCTGCGCTCGAAGCATCTGTCCCCGTACTACCTTCCGCTCAACCCGAGTCACGAACTGCGGCAACTACGGTGCCCACGGCGCGTGACTAGAGTTGTCGTAGTCTTGCTGTCGACCATTACGAGGGGGGTTGCGTCTGTGTACTCATGTAAACGCATGCGCCGTAGTCGTTAGACGAGTGACCTCGAATCCCCACCATGCCGCCGGGACGGAGCGATGTGGGATGTCGGGTTTTCGACGAGGGGAGCGGGGAGCGAGAATGAACAAAGCTTCCGGGAGTTGGGGGCGACGTTTTGCTTTGTTTGCCCACCCATCCCATCCTAGTGACTCAATCCTCACTGACCGCGTCCTCGACGAAAGGCTCCACCTCCCTAACGCCCACCCGCCCCAGGTTGCCCTCGTCCAGCAGCGCGAAGCAGTACCGAACGTCCCGGCGAGAGCAGGTGCCCGACTGTAGGGCCTCTTCGCAGAGCCAGAAGCAGACCCACGCGTCGTACCCCAGCGTTTCTCGGCGGCACCCGAGTCCCGTCGAGAACAGCGAGGAAGAGGACGAGGAGGAGGAGCAAGAAGACGAGGAGGAGGAACAAGAGGAGGACGGGGAGGACGAGGAAGAGGCCGAAGAGCAAGAAGAAGAAGACCTGAGCGGCCGGTGTCCAGCTTGGATGACCCTGCGCGTTGTACGTGCGTGTGCAGGTGTAGGTTCCGTATGTAGGTATACGCCTGGCGATCTGTTAAGCTAGCAATATATGACCGTCTCAGCGGGGCAACGATATCAAAACAAGAACATATGTTTTCTGCGTCGCGGGTGAGCGCTAGTTTACTTAGAACAGCGCGACGACGTTCGGGCGAGTCAGAGGGGCAGTGGTAGCTTCTTGCTGGAGGAGAGAAAAGGAGGAGTGCTATCGTGTTTGAGGGGCAGCTACGGCTCGATATATGATAGAAGGACGATCAAGGAGACAGGATTGCGTTTGGGGGTCGTCTCCAAAACAACAGGCAACGGCGCACCAAACACGCAGCAGGACACCCAAGCAATCCATTACGACTTCCTCCCCCGCGCCTCGCTCTCGTTTTCCTACAGCGGCAGACTATCATGGCGAGAGTGCAGGGCGAGCGCCCCACGGGCAGTGGAGCTTCCCGAAACGGTCGGTGTGTGGTAGACGGTCAAATAACCGAGTCGAGCAAATATCGAAGGAAAAAAAACTCTCTCATTCTTGCTCTCGCCCCCCCCCCGTCTCTCCTTCTCAAACTACATAAAAATGGGCCCAAACGACTAAAGAGAGAAAATCAACCAAAAACAAAGCCCCCAAACCCTCCCTATCCTCGGCTTCGTTGCCTCCTACCTCGGTGCGCGGACTGCCCCGACGGCCCTAACGTCGGCCTCCCGGCGGTACCTGCGGAGGGCCTCCTGGCCCACGCCCCATCTGCTCTCGCCACAGAGCGACAGGAACTCCGAGCGAATCAGTTCTTGGCGCGACAGGGAGAAGAATTGCGAGTCCTTTCGGAAGGCGTGGGTGGGCGGGCGCGCGGGGGCGGGGGGGGTCGAGGGGAGCAGGTGGGAGATGGGGCGGCGGGGGGGAGGGGGGTTCAAGACGAAAGTCAAGGAGATGCTAGAAAGTAGGGAGGAGGCAACCCTTCGGAAGAAGGTACGAAGCGAAGACCACTTGGAGATATACGGGAAGTTGAAAGAAGGGATAGGGATGAAGAAGTACTTGGACGGCCCCATGGACTATGCGAAAAAGCTGAAATTGCAATTTCGAGTAGGCGATCTG